CCACAAGTTAATTGTATTGGCTAAGAGTTAGTGTATAACTTACAGAGGCTTTATTTCCACTTTCTTTCTGGTTTATTTACATTGCATTAATAGAAAGGAAGGAAAGAGCACAGATTACACTTAAGTATTTTACTGAACCATGGCAACTATCACTTTTGAAGGGAAATCACAAGCATATGCTGTATTTAGGGAAATTTAAAAATATATTACACTGTTGTTATCCATGACTATCCTAGTGAGGGATTATATATCTATGTGCCATCTGCAGTTCAATAACACTAAATATTTAATGAGTTTATGAATAGTAGATAAATATTTAACACGGCTTTGTAGAAATGTGCATGCATTGAACATTTGTTTGTCACTGCCAAAGAAAATAGCCTGATTTGGGGACATGATTATTTCAGTTAACAATTCAAATTGCTTCTGTGGAAGCAGACCTGAGATAGGGGAATGTTAAAGTCGGAAGAGGACCCAGTTCAAAGTATCGGTCACTCGTGTTGGTTCCCCTATTAGTCCTACCAGCGTGGCATTTGCTGTTGCATCCGTTGTGTGGCTGCGGTAATTGTGTGGCTGTACAGCTCTGCTGCTCACTCCTTGGTTGTATCTCTTCTGATGAACTTCAGCTTTGCATCTTACATGGTCTTCCCTTTTGATGCCTCTAAAATGAAAGAGAAATACTGAGTTTATTCATGAATTCATTTAAAACATTTGCCTAGAGCATTTGCAGCCAGATAGACTTCACAGAGCTTCCAAATAGTAAATGGATTCAGTGTCAGAAAGCAGAGAAGATAACAAAACCAGAAATCTTTCTTCTCAGTGTCTTAATAGTTTGCAGCTTCAAATAAAATTTCATGAGAATATGTGCCTTGCATGTAGGTCATTCAGCTATCTTCTCATAAAAGGAAAGAAGTATGAAAATAAAGAAACCTCACATGTGACCAGATCCTTTATTTTGGTTATATGGATATAATTTCAAGAACTTTACCCAATTAAGAACTGCTATGGAACCAAGAAAAATATGGAGAAAACTGTTGTGCACGGTTGAAAAGCCAATTTGTCAAAATTCCTTAAAAAAATATTATCTTTACATGTATTCTATTTTAGGTAAGTATGAGCCACAGATGGCCATGAATTTCAAAATTTGATGAGTCAATGGCCATTGCAGTGTACAAAACTGGTGTGTGTGAGTACATTTCCATAAATATGTACCCTTACAAATATAATCTATGCTTC